TATTCGAGTTGGGGACGCAGACTGAGACCAAATCGATTGATTGAGCACACCTTCGGGGACCAGGCCCCAGGCTGCGGATCTCGAAACGTCAGGCGAATAAAAGTATTGTCCCAGCGATCGAGTCGTCTTTTTCTCAATTACTTCCTGGGACTCGCATGTTCGCTTGTATCAGTAGTGGGGTTTTTACATTTTAGTAATTGTATCCCTGTGAGAATCGAGTCAACAAATGGACATGCCAGTGAACGTTTTTGGTGACATACAACCCTAGCAGGTGCTTGCCCTCGGCCGCCGTTTTTTACGATTCGGTCGAATTAAAAGGCAAAAGAACATGTCTACTTTTACCTATAAGTAGCTGTATTAATAATGAAAATGTGCGAATCTTTGGAGCAGCAGTCTCAGTCAAGGACCCTCGAAGTCGCAAGCATGCATAGCGAACAAGTGGACTAAAAAATCGAACAAAAGATTGCAGTCATAGGTTGCTTAACCTAGTAGATCAAGATATTGGCTGCGTTCGGGAATTTTATACACATTTTCCGTGTAAGAAACGGAGTCTGCGGGGTGAGAGTGTGCATAGTTGTTGCAGGTGCTAAACGAAATCAGAGATTATGATAAAAAAAAATCCCTGTTTCATCTTCGGTATAACTTTTCATTTCAAATTAAAGATGTTGCTTGCTTTATGAAGCACGGTAACATGTATAGGGGGAATAATTTCCTAGAAATTTCCCTTTCAACATGCTTGCTTAGGTTTTCCGATAGGATCTGAGAATCCAAAAACTCAACAAATTGTCTATTGACCATCGTTGACAAACCTTCACCGATCGCTAACGGGACCCAGTCGGCCCGGTTTGCCTTGGGTTTCCTTTCTCGGGCCCTGGCAGCAACTGCATTGTGGTTAGTAGTCTAAACAGATAGTAATGCCGGCAAAGACAAGGCATAAAAAGCAGCCAATCGAATGACTACCCCCCCCTCCCACCTTCCTCCTTCGCTATTTTTTAGTTTTCGTAACGGTCATCTTTCTTGCGCAGACACTAACAGGCTGCTCCGGCATATGTTTTCACCACCAAAGCACATTAAATAGTCAGTTCATCTGCTTTGACAGATGACGCCATCTTTCAACTTTCAGAAGACGGACTGCAACCTTCGTATGCGAGTGCACCCTAGGTTGTATATTTTATTTAGGTCAACCGGCTCTTTTAATATCTCCCAGAGTACCGCCCACAGAGATTACTCTCGGAATCGGGGGTTATGCATTTTTTGGCGATTGGTGTGATGGGCTACCGTGAATGGTTTTTAGGTACCATGACATTTTCATGGAATATCCGACTTTCTGCAAACGGTGTCGTTTTTGAAACGCGTGGTACCCACTGGTCGCAAGTTTGATAAAGCCACTGTCATTTTTTAAATATCCAGAGTGGTTCAATCTGTAGTGTGTTCAGTAATTTTATCTGGTGAATGTTTCATCACACAGTTTACGTTATTTTTGCGAAAATTCCCATTGAAAATGTCAGAAAATGAATTGGCGAACATACTTTTGTTTTCTATAAATTCTTGTCAGGTCTTTATATTTATATGGTAATTAAGTAAATAAACTATGCGGATTGATAGAAAAATAGCGTGGTTTTCAGGGGAGGTTCATATTATGTCCCCACCATGTGCGTCTTATTAATTTCTGAATTTCTGAAGGTCCGCAGTCGGACTGGTATGTACCAGTTCGATTTTGGGTTCGGTATCGTTTCCTCAACTCCAAGTAAATTCACCCTTGGAGGGCGTGATTGGTGATTTGTTACCCGTCTATTTTTAGCCGGTGCTTTTTAAAGCAAAAATGACGAACTGAGATACAGATAAGATACGTTGATGGGTAGAATCCTACTTTGGGTCCTAGAAGTTGTCTAAATAATCTAATTTTTTCGCAACAAAATAGCGCGCCATACATAAACACAGAAATTTACTTACATTTCTTACTTACTCATAGTTTATAGGGTGTGAAAAAATTGGATGTTATACTTTATGGGCTTTCTTTACATTCCTGAAAAAAAATTACTGGTTAGGCGGCCGTCTACTTCAACTTACCTGAGGTCCAACTTACCATTCTGGAGTTAGATTAG